TCTATAGCCGGGTACCCATTTCCACCTGGGTGAAGTGAGGAAAATTTGTGCAAAGTGCCTTTCCCATGGACACAACGTCGGGCCCCTGACGGGATTCGAACCCACGACCTTACAGCTGCGAGTCCGAGAGCCAAACCACTAGGCCACCGACGCCACAACGATGTCAAAGTTTCGAGATGTTTCTATTACGTTGGAGAGGGTAGGGTAGACCATTAGAAGTTATTTTGCTCTTGTCATGTGGATATCACAGAAGCAGCTGACTTTTTCTCTGGCGCAAACAGTTGTTTATTTATTGTTCTTCGGGGGGTGGTCATGCGGAAACAACTCTGCGAATGTGAGGTGGTCTATGACAACGAAGGACTTTGTCGTAAAAGTCACTTTTTGAGACGAGAACATTTTCTGAAATGGTAAATTTTAGAGATCGTAAGGGATGCTTTTAGAAATTGTTTATAATGTATTCCGCACTTCGGTTTCTTTTTTCTTTTTTTGTGTGTCTTTTTGGGGAGTTCTGTTTTGGGCTTCCTTTTGTTGGGGGCGGACCGAGGGTAGGGGGTGGTTACAATGGCGGTGGGTAGTGAAGGGCTTACGGGCTTGAGCCCCTCACCCCCACCCCGTCCCCACCCCAACTCTATCCCTTAGTTATTGAAAGTTTTTAAATAACAAAATACGAAACCGTTATGAAGGCACACAATGAACACACAGTTATCAGCTTGGCGGCTTGGCCGTTTATCCACCAATCATTGTTGTCACCGCTTACAACTATAGTAGCCTAACAGCCGAACAAATGTCGTTAGGGCTCAGAAGGAATTAAGCCGGTTCCCATGCCCGTCTTCAATGAAACTCTTCTTGTAAAAAGGAAGAAGACTTTTTAAAAAAATAACACTGCACAGAGTAGGGCTGGATCCTGCTCGCCAAATTTGAGAGTGGCGATTCGCGATTCAGTCGGCTTCAAAGAATCGCCAGTACGCGAGCGCTCGTGGAACTGTAACACTGACTGAAACGGACCAGTGTCATATCAACGCCACTTGGCGAGCGCGAGTCCCACTCTTGTTGTTCCGCCATCCTCC